AATTCTTGTCCTCAAAGTAGTGCAGCTGGGACTTAACCCATCTCAAGATGGAGCCATCTCTCCATCTTGAAAACATTCTTCAGTGTTATTTTCTTCTATATTATTGCATGCTTTGTTTTGTGACTTTTCCTGGGTGATGTGAATAAATGTGCATTCGCCCCAGATAGGACACCAATCACAGAGTGAAGAAACAATTTCACCCAGGTCTAGCTTGTGAGCTAGCAAGTTTATACGTTTATAAGGGCTAGTTATAGCAGAGTGGATGAGGAGTTAGCGTCAGCAACTAGGACAACTTAAAGGCAGATGCATCAAAGAAAAACCTCTTCTAGCATGAGTGATGACTCACAAAAACTGCATCCCTGGGTTCACTGCGGGGTTTATAGGCTGTTCCACTGGTCAGGTTATCTCAGAACTCCTACTGCTTATATAGCCTTGGAGGAGGGGCATGGTGAATCCTTTAAGTTTCGGGAACTTCCTGAAACCTAGAAGTTATTTACTTCTTGATTTTGATCCTCTAGGATGAAATGTTTATATTCAGAGGAGACTGTTACACAACGTATCTATTTCTAGACAAGTTGCTCCAGATTGTAAGAAACGCAAAAAGAGCTGTCTTTTTGCAGTTATGGCTGTGTTTGATGGCTATGTTTGACATGTTCACTGGCCGACTATCAGTCTCCTCCTCCTCTTCCTCTTTCTTCTGTTATGTTTATTTTTTGTTTTATTCATATAGGTGTTTTTGCCTGCATATATGTCTGTGCACCATGTACGTGTACTGTCCTACGAGGTCAGAAAGGGGTGTTGGATCCCCTGAAATTAGAGTTACAGACACTTATGAACTGCCACGCGAGTGCTGAAGATGAAACCTGGGTCCTCTGCAAGAGCAGCAAGTGATGTTAATGTCTGAGCCTTTCTCCAGCCCCTTCTAGTCTCTTCTTGTTCCATAAGAGCTTTATGTGTGTTTACAAAGCGTGGTCCTGTTTTTCTTTGTTTGAAATCATCCAAACACTGCTATACTACACTGCTCTACTTCTTGGGGACTCAGACACTACCCAGGTAGCTATAAGTTGAGTGACAAGCAGTTCTGTTGCAAAATCTTCTTTCTCAAGGATCTGACATCATTTAGATGACAGAATTTCCACAAAGCAGGTAGGGAGGGAATAATTGTTTGAAAGATACCAGTTTAGCAAGAAAAGACTATTAAAAAAAAAACCCAACTATTTATGTGCCTAGGTTTGAAAAAAAAAGTTATTGTTGCTGCATAGGTCAGCCCTAGAGACACTGGATTTTCTTTCAAGCTATCATGGTTGGGTGGACAGAATCAGGCTCCATCTGTTCATTGTAAGATGCTGCCAGTAGGAGATCCCTGACTTACTAGAGAGAGGCTCTAGTTCTGCACATTGAGCAGGTAGGCAGGAGGGCTCCTGCTTTGCTAGTTCAAACAATAATAGAAAGAAATGTCTGCGTTTCCATTCCCAGTCCCATGAGCTCCTGGCCAGAGGCTTACTAGCACTGTATAAATTAGATGACAAATAATTACTGCCTATTAAGGAGTTCCTAAGTTAGGCATTCTGTCAAGTGCTTTCGTTTAATGCTCAGGAAAAAACACCGTAACTATTATTATTGTCATCCTACAAAGGAGGAACGTAAAGCTTAGTAAAAATGAATAATTGGCTTAGCATCAGTGGTTACACCCTCGGGTGACTAGTGAAGCTTTGTCCATCCCATTCAAGCTGCCTTATATTGCAACTTCAATAATAATGGTTAACCCTTTCTTTTCCTGGACCGCTGGAGGCAAGATGGGTTACGGATGCTCTTCTGGAGTCACCCTTGAGATTTCAGCCAGGCTTCTTACTCTGGCTGTGTCTGCTCAAACTGCCACAGTCAGATCCAGAAATACTGGCTAAGCACGAGCCAGCAACATTTCTGTCAGTACGGAAGGAAAGGATGTAGGCTCATTAAGTTGGACTATTTGCCCTTCCTTGAATGGATTATTCAAGACTATCTACCCAAGAAAAGAGATCATGATAGCTCGTTGTACACAAAACAATTAAAAACCTTGAAACAATAGTGTACTAGCTGGTTTTGTGTGTCAACTTGACACAAGCTGGAGTTATCATAGAGAAAGGAGCCTCCCTTGAGGAAACGCCTCCATGAGATCCAGCTGTAAGGAATTTTCTCAATTAGTGATCAAGGGGGAAGGGCCCAGCCTATTGTGGGTGGTGCCATCTCTGGGCTGGTAGTCCTGGATTCTATAAGAAAGCAAGTTGAGCAAGTCAAGGGTAGCAAGCCAGTAAGCAGCACTCCTCAACGGCCTGTCTGCATCAGCTCCAAGTTCCTGCCCTGTGTGAGTTCCAGTCCTGACTTCCTTTGGTGATGAACTGCAATGTGGAAGTGTAAGCTGAATAAACCCTTTCCTCTCCAACTTGCTTCTTGGTCATGATGTTTGGAGACTAAGACAAACAGTGATAATGGCAGTTTTGATTTTGATAAAGAACATTTATTTGTTCACTCTGACTTACAGGATGAATAAAGTCATGCTGACTGACCCAGTGAGATAGATGCCTCAGTGGGTCAAAGTGCTTGCTGTGAAATCCTGACAACCTGCATTTGATCCCGGGACCCACAGTGGAAGAAGAGAACCAACTCCTGAAGGTTGTCTTCTGACCGCCACCCGTGTGCTGTGGCATGTAGAGCCCTGCATTCACATGCCTACCTACACACACGTCGGTGAGCTCACACACACACATACAGAAATAAAAAAAAACTCACAATGGCAATAATGTGAGCATCTAACACCTGCTTCGACAGGCCACGCTGCCCCGTGGTCAGTCTTTCTGTCTCTAGGACAAAGCACCTGAGAAAAATGTGTGAGAGAGGGTTTATCTTAGCTCATAATTTCAAGTCATGATCACTCCAATCACAGTCACTCTGTGTGTGGCTCCAGGGTTTGAGTGAGGGAGGTGAGGCATAATTAGCACCACAGCAGGATTATGTGGTGGAGCCGACTCACCTCCAGGTAGACTGAAAGTGGCAGATGGAGAAAGAGGCTGGAGACTAGAGAGGAACTTTCAGACCATGCCCCTGGCAGCCCACTTCCTCCCATCTGTCCTCACCTTCCAGTTTTTACCAATCCCCCAATCATGAATCAGTCAATGCACTAATCCTAATCCACCGCATAGGTTGCTGGGCCCAACAATTAGGTTCTCAGGATCCAAATGCTCGCCCTAAGTCTGTCAGCTGTCATGGCATGAGCCTTTGGGGAATTTTTTGATTCAAGTCATAACATGATCAAAGTTCCTAATGCTGATAACTCATTTGATCTCCGTAATAATTATTTTTAAAATAGTATTATTATGCTAATGTAGGTGTCAAAACTAAGCTGAGAGACAAGAGCCATTAATTAACTTCCTTCCATAAGGTGTCAAGACTTGTAAACAGCTAAGCTGGTGCAGTCTATAAACACACAAATATTCAGTAGGAAAACCCAGCTTCAAGGCAAGTTGTGCAGACTTTCCCAACTAGCCTGCAAGCCTTTATATCCCCTCTGAAGGAACTCTCAACCACCAGTGGTCCAGCATTACGTGGGCAGTAGACGATAAGGTCTTCCTGGGGTTGGTTTGGCTCTGAAGCAGAGATCTTCATCTCTCTGTCCATTTTCTGGGGTGCTTAATTCAAGTTCAAAGGCCAAGTCATAGACTGGTTGCAAGTAAACTTAGAAATCACCTGACCTGGGGTTTCTCAATCTCTGAACTATTGACATTCTGGTTTGCACAGGTCTCTCTTGCAGGGTAGAGACTTGCTCTATGCAAGGTAGAGTTTGGAATGACATTCTCAGCCTCTATTCACTAGATGCCAGCACAGCCTCCATTTGTGGAGAACAGCATTTACCAAATGATAAATATGGAAGTGGGAGATGCTGAAAGGGTCTGAAACTTTTCCTGGCTGGGAACCACTGACCCAAAGGATGATTTCACAGATATTGCAGTTGGAATCCAAAGAGAAAAACTAACTTGTTTAAAGTAGCAAGCAAGGGTAAGGCTAGAAGCTACATTACTACACAACATCCCTTTACCATGTATATGTCACAGTATGGAACCCCGAGAGGCAGAAGCAGTTTCTATTTACAATCAGGCCGAAAAAACTTACTGGACATGAAGCTGATAAGCTCTGAAGGGCTACTTAGGCAGCAAGGAGTAAAAACAAGAGGCTGCCATCTTGACTGGCCATGTATTTCTGCTTCAGGACTTGAACAAATTCAGATTCATCCATTGGATTAAAACCATGTTTTCTATTGTGAGGCTCAAAATAGTTCTATAAATGCATCGTGTAAGCCATAAAGCTCTTAAAAAACACCAGGCATCATCATCATTATTTTTTGTTTTAGGGTTTTTTTTTTTTTTTTTTTTTTGAAACAGCGTTTTTCTGTGTAGCCCTGGCTGTCCTGCAACTCACTATGTAGACCAGGCTGGCTTCGAACTCAGAGATACTCCTGTCTCTGCCTCTTGAGACTCGGGACTAAAGGTGTGCATCACCATGCCTGGCAACATCAGGAATTATTAACATCATTGTAGGTGCAATTATTCGATTCATAGCAAAATTTCTCAGAAAAGTTTATATGGGAGCCTTCATTCCTGGACTTCCCAGTTCTTGGGCTAGAGAGAAAGCAGGCAAAGAGACCTTCCTCTCGCAGAGCGCCTCTCTGCTTCCCTAAATCCCAGGAAGCCAAATGAGAGCGATCAGGTCACCACTTCGCACTAGCGCGACTAACCAGATCTGCCCCCCGGTACTCGGGCCTTTCAAGCTCCACCCTCCGGCCACCGCCCTAAAAGAGGCCGACCCTTCTCACTCCAGGCCTCCCTGAGCATCCCGGAGATTCCCGAGCTTTTCCGATCCCTTCCCGGCCTCCCGCGGGCGGTCCGCGCGGAGGTGGCGGAGATTGCCGAGGGATGTAGCCACGCCCCCTCACCACAGCCTCCTCTCGCGCGGGCCGCCCGAGTCCCACACATCCAGGTTCCTCCCTCCTTCTCTCCTTTCTCTCTCCCCGCCTTCCCGGCGCTGCCACAGTGGCGGGACGGAGGATCCCGACCAGTCAGCTCGCTGCGGCCTCGCGCTCCTCCTCCTCCCAAATAAACAGCCCTCCCCAAGCTGGGAGCCCAGGCCGTCCCCTTCTTCGCACAGCCGGCGAGTGGTGAGGGAGCGCGGGACCGAAGGACCAAGGGACAGAGGGATCGGCGCACGCGCGTGCGAGCGAGCGAGCGAGCGAGCGGCCGGCGCGAAGCCGGAGCAGAAGCCAGAGCCGGAGCCGAAGCCGGAGCCATAACCTGAGTCGGAGCGGTAGTGAAGCCGAAGCCGGGCTCCGGACCGGCGCGCACGCACACACACGCACGCGGGGGGCGGGGCCGGCGCGCGCCCGCTTGTCGCGACTGTCGGCACCGAGGCCCAGGGGGAGGTGGCCTGTCGCGGGTCGCCCGGCTCCCGGTGGCGAAGGGGGCGCGGGCGGATGGCGGAAGGCGGCCAGGCGCAGCAGCAGCCGCCTCAGCTCGGGCCCGGCGCTGCCGCCCGGGGCATGAAGCGGGAGTCAGAGGTGGAGCTGCCGGTGCCCGGAGCGGGGGCAGACGGACCCGAGCCCGGCCTGAGCAAGCGGCCACGCACAGAGGAGGCGGCCGACGGCGGGATGCAGGTGACCGCGCGGGACGGGCGCCCGGTTACGGAGGGCCGCGGCGGGCTCGGGCCTCGGGGCGCCGGGTGGGCCTGGCTGGAGAGTGGGCTTGGGGCCCGGTGCAGGGGCTGGGCTCCTAAGGGGCCCCGGAGGCAGCGCGAGGGAGTGGGATTTTTCCTTTTGGAGTTGGGATTGAACAGGATCGGGATGCAGTCCATTTCTTAAACCCGTCCTCAGTTTCTTGAGAAGTTGAGGTGTCTTGGGTCTATTTGTCCAGAGGAGAGCTGTTGGGCTGAGCCGAGAGCGAGGGAAGCTGGTGGGAAAGCTCCCGAGAAGAAGGGCGCCTTTTGGTTTACCCTGGGCACACACTGGGATGAGGAAAGGGGGAGCGGCATGTGGAGGACAGACTGAAAAGCCAGCCAACTCCTGGAGAGAGAGCCCGAAAGGGGATGTGGCTTACCTTGTGGGTTCAATCAGTTACTCGAGCAGTCTTGAGAAGTCCGCGGAGTTTGGTAGTGTGATGCTCAGTCTCAGTTTTGTGCAGCATGTTATTAAGTCTGGAGAGAGACAACAGGCATGTCCCTCCTGTGCTTTACCCTTTGCATCCTACATTTGTAGGATGCGCAGTAGCTCCTTAGTATCCTGAGGTAGAAAAGAAAATTTATTGGGCTGTTAGGAGACTGGTTTCTGAGTTGTGGCCTCAAGGGTAAGCTTGACTGATGAGGGTAGGAAATGGTAAAGATACTGATGCTGGCGGTTACTACTTAGTTTGAAGAAGGTATTGCATCCCTATAGGCTTTAGGATTTGTTCTCTGTTTAGACAATATTGGCTACGAAATGGAGAGGCTCGCAGCAGCAACAGGATGCTCTCTCATTCCTTTAGAACCATAGAATGTTAGAGATGGACCAGAGACACCATCATCTTTCCCACTAGGAGTTCTCAGTCTAATGCACTTGGAAGAGTTATGCAGAATGGATTATGTGCACTTTCGGTGAAGAGTCAATACTTTGTATCTTTTTCTTTTTGGTGGTACGGAAGGGTGTGTTCAAGTTTCGGCAGGGTTTAACAGCCTCATTTTTATAGATAAGGAGTTAGAAGTCCAGAGAAAACTAGTGACTTGCCTAAAGCCACCCAGTTAGCTGGTTCTAATTCCTATTCCTGTGCTCTCTCCATTACACCACTCTTGGAAATCTCTGCAGTACTGAGAGAGACTTCCCGTGCCCAGCCAGACTTCCTGTGGCAGGGAAGGAGCTGTACTTAAAGCCTGGCATGTTTGCTGTGTGCCTCTTGTCTCCTTTGCAGAATCCACCCTGTTACCTCTGTTGATTTGGGCAAAAGGGACCTCCTGGGTGTTGAGTTTTGAGTCCTTTTGTTTGCTGGCTTTTATTTCCCTTAGAAGAAGTCTGTCAGGCAGAGGGATTGTTAGATCAATCTGAAAGCCATAGAAGAATGGGGAGACTTAGTGGGTTAGCACTGGATGATAAAGAGGGACCACTGGATAGAGGTGAATGTGTTCACTTGGAGTGTGCACACATCTGTGCGCCTTTTCCCCCATGCCAATCTTAGTTAATAGTGTGTTCTCATTGCTTTTCCTTTCTTCTGTCTGAGGCTCATTATTTGCTGACTGCCTTCACGTTGGCTAAGGATAGTGATACTTGGAAAAGGAGTAGTGCATAGGGACTTTGGGATGTGCAGAGGAAGGAGAGAATTAGGTCCTTTGGGTACAATTGGATAACTTAGAACTATTCCACGGAGAATTATTTTCCTCTGTATATTTGTGAATAGTCTTTACATTTCCTTTTGTACATTCTTAGAATTGTACTTTTTGTTGTTGTTTTGTTTTTTGAGACATGGTCTTATTTGTAGCCCAGGTTGGCCTGAACTTCTTGTAGTAGCTGAGGATTACCTTGAACTCTTGGACTCCTGATTTCCCTGTTTCTACCTTCCCAGTAGATTTCTGAAATACGGGCATGCACCACCATGCCCAGCTCATTACTGTAGGTTTCTTACTCCTTGTCACACAGGTATTAAGATCATCATTGACTTAACCCTTTGTTTTCAACTAGCTGTTTTATCCTGGGGAAAACCCCTATTTGGAGACCTCTGTTTTCTTATTTAGAAATGGACTTGTATAAAATAATTCCTAGGTTGCCTTCTTAGAAATGTAAGCCAAGCTCCCTTTCCTAACAGCGCACGTGACCTGGGCAGGGAGACAAATGAATGAAAAGTTAAACAAACAAACAAAAAAAAAAACCTGCTGGTGTTTAATACTCAATTAAGTAACGTATCTCAAGCAGCTGTGACACTCTTGGGCTACTGGTTTTTGTTTGTTTGTTTTTTTGAGACAGGATCTCTCTGTTTAGTCCTGGCTGTCTTGGAGCTTGTTATGCAGACCAGGGTAGCTTTGAACTCTCAGAGCTCTGCTTCTACTTCTGGTGGTGTTTACACACTGTTTTAACCCTATAGGATATATAAAGAAACACTACTTTTATTGCATATTATTCAAGAGACAAATCAGCAGTTGTTGATAGCATTTGAGAAAATTAAGCAGGGAAGGGGATAGAGAAATTTAGAGATGGCTCAGGAAGTTCTCTCTGTAGGTGACCTTTGAAGTGAAGATGTGGGTCTTCTGGAGGGTTTAGGGAAGAGGATTCAGGCCATTCAGTGGTTTAGGGAAGAGGAACCCAGAGGGTTGAGGCATTGGGAGACAAGTAGCTTGATGTGCTGACCTGGAGGCCAGAATATGCAGGCATAGGCCTTCTCAGGAGATAGCAGCAGCGGGTTAGAAGGGCTTGGAGGCTCTTCGTAACTAGCTTATCCTCATATAGGCTTTTTATGGATTGGTCTTAAAACATGTGTTTTTTCCTCATCTCTGAAGACAGCTGGGGTCTTTCTGCAGTCATAGCTTGGTCCTTTAAGACTTCCCCGACAGCATAGTTGGCATTAGTTAGACTCAGCTGTGCCTGCTGGTTTATTTATTTGTACTTATGCGTCATCTTTTATTGTCGTTAGAGGCTTTATTGTGCCTACTTCCTTAGACTCTACGCTTCCACAAGGAAGAAAGTGTATTTCCTTTATTCTTCATAATACCTGGGTTTATAATGAATGTAAAATGTTTATTAAATTGAAGTTGAAATTTACCACTTACAAAAAACTTAGGGATTAAATTAATCATGAGATTCCCGAGTGAAGGGAATTTTTTCTTTTTCTTTTTTTTTTTTAACAGAATGCAGTAGTTGACCAATTTAATTTCCCAAGACTATTTGCTAAATGGAACTACAACCCTAAATTAGGTTCCAAGGCTGAGTTTTGGTTGGGCCACTAAACTTTTGGACATCATTACTTCCAAAGTGGAGTCCTGGGGCTCCAGAGAGTCTGGGCTTATGTTGTAAGCCTTATGCTCAAAAGGAACCTGAGGGAGAGAGGAAGACTTAGTGCTTTTTAGAACAATACACATAAGCCTCACGAGGGGAGAAGAGTCTCCTCAGCCTGGGCAGAGGGGAGAAGTAGAGAGACCTGGACTGTGGAGTTGAAGGGAAGTAGGGTTGAGAAATGTAGCTGTTAAAAATGGCTCAGGAGTTAAGAACACCGGTTTCTCTTCCAGAGGTCCTGAGTTCAATTCTCAGCAACCATATGGTGGATTACAACCATCTGTAATGCTCTCTTCTGTGTGTCTGAAGACAGTCACAGTGTACTCATATAAATAAAATAAATAAGACTTTTTAAAAAATATGGAGTTTGGAAATAGTTACTACACTTGTGGAAAGCTGGGTATATTAGCACCGCGTCTCCCTTCCTCAGAGCTGAGGCATACGGAGGGTCTACCAAACACACCGAGGGCTGCTTCCTGTCAGTCAGCCTTTCTAGTGATTGCAGACAATGCCATTATCAAAAATTGTGTTCTTATGTAAATTTCTAGGAGTTAGGCTGCTGTATAAGGTAAGATGAGTCTTAATTATTACTTAGAACCTTCAGCAAAAGTCTTTATGGCAGTGAAACATTGGTATGTGGTGATTTTGTGGCTTAGTAACTGCTTTTGACCAGAGTCATCAATCTAGAGGAGCTGAGTGAGTTCACAGTGTGAACAAGTATGTACATGTATGTGTGTGTTAGTATGTGTGTAAACATACACATGCTGGGGAGTGAACCTAGGGCCTCATGGGAGCTACATGAGTCTATGAGAGTTGTGTTGTTTGTTTTTGTTTTGTTTTCAGTACTAGAGATTCAAACCCTTGAGCATGCTAGGCAAGCATTCTACAATTGAGCTATATCCCCAGCCCTATTTTTACTCTGAACTTTGAGATAGTATCTTACTACTTTTCCTGGACTGGCCTTGAGCTTACACTGTGGCCTGGGAAGGCCTGCTGTCTTGTCAGCCTCATAGATCTTGGCCATCAGGTGTAGCTCACTTTTTAGTGACTCTAGTCGTAGGGAGGTCTGAGGGAGGGGATTCTAGGTATCCTGTTGCATTCGGTATCTCATGTTCCCGTTTGCTCATTTGTGGGTTGATTTCCTTCTAGGTAGGTATTTGGACCCTCATTTGGGTTTTTGATTCTGAAGCTGGGCATTGTGCTGCTTTCGGTAAAGTTCTTCAGTAATGTGCTCTCCTTACAGGTAATTTCATGGGTAGTATCTCACTTAAATGACTTAAACCTGATTTCTAGTTGTCTAAGTTTTCTCAGGCTGTCATAACCAAATACCACAGACTGGTGGCTAAATAGCAGGCATTTATATCTCACAGCTGTGAAAGTCCAAAATGGTGCCAGAATGTTTGAGACCTGGTGAGGGTCTGCTTCTTTGCTTGCAGATAATACCCTCTGACTGTCTGTTGAGGTGGCCATTGCTTCAAGGGTGGAGAAGTGAGAGCTATGTAATCGTTCTGTCTCAGCGGCCCCACCCTCACAACCTCATCAAATCCTCATACTTTCCAAAGACTCCATTTTCAAATGCTGTCGCATTGGGCGCTACAGTGTCCTCTGATTTTTGTTTTGTTTTATTTTTTCGGGATAGGGTTTCTCTA